TCCCTTCCCTGCACTGCCCTCTGTGCCACGAGGGACTGAAGGCAGAGCATGACTCTGAGCTCCACAGCTGTTTTGGAGAGCCACAGTGAGGAGGAGGACAGATGGAAGGGTGTGCCATTGGCTGCCAAGGGGAGGACCAGCCCATAGTGAGTTTTATTCACCACTGGGATTTTTGCTGGCAAATGGGACTTTGTCTAAATGGAGAGGAGGAGAAGGATGTAAACCAAAGCTCCACCTCTGAGCTAAGCTGCTTTATGTGCTGGAAAAACAGGGTCCCTTCTGGGTAGCAGGCAGATCCACATCTTTGCTGAGCACAGAGACAGGACAAGGGAGCACCTGCAGGTGTAGGAAGGAGTGAAAGTGTCTGCAGGACCAGGTATTTTCATCCTTGGGGGCTCCACTCAACAAGTGCCTGAGAAACATCAATGTGGGGCCAGGTGGCACAGGGGGCTCAAGGAAGTTGAGGCCTCAAAGTGAGAAACTGCCACCAGCGTGAGCTACCTCTGTGCTTTCTTGCCCAAGGTGTGCTGTGTTGGTTTGCCATTCCCTGCTGCCCAGAGGGAGTGGGAAGGAGCTCCTTGTTAGTCCCTTAGCTTGCCTCCCAGCCCCCTCAGCGAGCCATCTCGCCACCGCGCTCTTTGCCAGTGAGACAGGCAGTGAGGGCGGCTGAGCCTGCAGAAAGGGCAGTTACATCACCGAGCCATGTGGGCATGCAGCTGGAGGGCGCTGGGGAAAAAGTTCATGTGGGTGTTGTTTCCTGCAAGTTACAGAGACCAGCTTGAGTTCAGGCAGTTGGTTACACTCTGGATGTTATGGCATCACACCTCTCACTGAGCTGAACATGCTTTTTCCCCCTTAATTCTCCTAGTTATTATTAATTTTTATTACTATTATTGTTATTAGTTGTAGCAATAGTACTGTTTTTGTTGCTTCAATGCATCAATCGGAGCTGGAGGAAAGCACAAGAGGTAGCTGGAACAAAGTGACATTGGAGTGGGGTTTGCAGCATCTCCCTTATTCAGGCAGGCCAGGGAAGGCAGAGACAGTGCAGATGCCAATTTCCTCACCTCAGCTCTGCCACGTCGCAGCCAGGGAAGCTTCACCGGAGCGAGTGTCTGCAGCTTTGCTTCCTCCTGCTGCAGTGAAACTCGCCAGGAGCCAGGATAGCTCTGTGATGTTCTCCTTAACAAGAACAAGCTTGTTACTCAGAAAATGAGCCTGTCTCCTCACCTTCCCCTCCCTGCCACCATCATGACCTTGTTTATGCTCAGCAATGGGACCCTTTGAGTTTTTGAGCCATTAGGAGTGATGTGGTCTCCAGCCAAGAGGAACAAGGACAAATGGAGAAGAGAGTCCTTCAGCTCCTGGTAACAGCGTCCTTACTGCTCTGACGCTGTTGACTGCCTGGGTGCTGGCTGGAGCAAAGGGTGTTGTGGCTAGAGCTGTATCCTACCATTTGAAAAAAACCAAAAAGACCTCCAAAAAAAGAGAAACACTGTTAGCTCTGTAATTGTGGGCTGACTTTGCTCTAGTGTAAACCCCTCTGAACTCATGGAAGTCCCCAGAGGATGAATTTGCTCCAGCCAGTAATTTGAAAGGGGAGGAGGGGAGGGGAGAAGGGGAGAATGATTTCCTTGCTCCTGGTGCCCTAAAGGTGTAGTGTGACATACTCTGCAGTAGAGATGCGTGCTGTGAAATGCAGCAGTATTTCACATCCTCTCAGCAGAGAAGCAGGGCTTGACATCAAGGGTTCCTTTCAAATTTCAAGTGCTGATTCAGGTCCAGAATCTGAAATGAGAGTGGAAGTTGAGGAGCAGTAACCAAACAGTCCTGGTGTTTGTCCAGTCACTTTAAAGGTAGATTGGCAAATATCTCTGGGTGCCTTAAATCTTTCTTTAATATACATAGAAGTATTGACAGCTATTTGCCGTTTTGTTTTTTTTTTTTTTTCTGAGTTATGAACATTCAAGGGGTTTCTTAATTATTTAATTGCCTACATTGAACTGTGGGTGCAGGTGATTTTGAATGTATTTGAGTTAGAATTTTTGTTAGATTAAGAAACAGATACAACACTTTAAGTAGAACTTTGTTTGAGATATATATATATATACCTATAAATATATATATATTTTTGGTGGCATGTTTGTGTCCTGGACGCATCGTCTGTATGTTTAGCTTAAATGAGTCTGTGAAAGGTGGAAGCAGAAAAAGCAGCAGTGGGATCTTATGGCTAAAGCAGCTGGGACCCGCTCCCAGCTTACCAACTTGCTCACTGCGTGATTTGGGACGAAGTCACTTAAAAACACTCTGTGCCTCAGTTTCCCTATCTGTAACGGGGTGTTACACCCTGCCTCCCAGAGGTGTGGGTGAGGCTCGCTGCCGACCAGCCGAGCACAGGAAGGAACAGTATGAACCACACACACCGCTGCTGGCAGAAGCATGGACTGGTTTGTTTTCCAAAACCGTTCCCAGCCCTGCTGGTATTGTGAAGAGCAGAAGTCTAAGTGTTGAGTGTTCAGGGAAGGATTGGAAAGTTGAATCTGCACATTGTCTAAGCTCTGTCACTGTTGAAATGTGAGTAGGATACGATTTTTCACAGCTTAGGGATTTCTGCATAGTAGTATCTCTGTTTTGTGTACGGGAAAAAAAAACCTTTTTGAAATAATTTCTACTAATATGGAAACAGACATCTGGTTGTGCTGATCTGAAATTTTATTTGTTCATAATAAAAATGATAAATGTTACTTTAAAACTTGTTTGACTGATGACATGGTGGGCAGGGCTTGGTAAAGCACAAGATACTCCATCAGGACCGGAATGCTGTGCCTTACTGCTTCCAAACCCTTCTCTCATCCAGGAGAACCAGGGGAAAAACGCCTCTGGCTCTTTAAGCATCATGAATGAGTGGATTATAATGGCTTTCATACTCCAGCGCAGGCCAGGCAGGCACACCCCGCCGAGGCTGCCCCTGCGCCTGGGGTTACTGCAGGTTAATTCCAGCCGGGGCCCCTTGCCAGGGCCCTGTGGCTGGCGGATACACATGCGGCACAACACGTAATACCGGCAGCCGCCCGTCGGGCGGGTTCATCAGCCTCAGCAGGGGAATTTTCCTCATGCAGCAGTGAGTGTCCCTGCTTATCCCCACCCCTGCTGCAGCTGGCGGGAAGTGAAAGGAAAAGGGGGAAATCCCCAGACCAAGTAGCACTTTATTGACAGTAGCTTCCCTGCACCCCCACCCAAACGCGTTTTGATCACATGGTAAGGCCATCTCTGTGTGGCACCAGCTTGCTCCGTGCACAGGCAGGCAGAGGGGATGGCCTTGTTTGTGGCATCTTTGCCACCTGCAGCACACTGGGACCCCTGGTCCAGCCCATGTTTGCTGGCACCGCCAGACCCGTGCAGCTGGGCATGCTGAATCCCTGGGAAAAACAGGCCCATGCTTTGGTTTCCAGCTGCAGCTACTGCTGCTGCAAAGCCCTTTGGTGGGAAGGCCAGAACCAGCATTGCAATCTGGACTGGGGGGCGAAAAGAGAATTACTCAAGACAGAAGGATGAGGCTCTTCCAGCAGCTGTGTTCATCCACATGGAGGTACGTGACCAGCCGAATCAATTTGACACATGGCTGCTTTGAGCTATAGAAAAAAGCAAAGCAAATGCTCCTGCTTATCAGCTGGTCACAGTAGCATGGCCCCACAAGTGACAGAGAGGTGCTTCTTCTGGTAATCTGGTGCACTTTTGATCCCAGCTGTGACAGCACAGCCCCTCCTAAAAAAAGTGAAACAGAGAAGGCAAGTCTTCAAAACTCCTGATTATTCAGCCAAGCCTAAAAATAAAGTTAATGATCCCTCTGTCTGGATTTCATGAGTGCAACTCCAATCGCAACCTCTCCCTCTTCGTTAAAGACTGTTATTAAATCCCCTGCCCAAAATATGTTTTCCTACAGTATCAAGCCCTTCAGCAGTGCCAACTCAGCATTTTAGGTCATTGCCTAGAAGGACTTCACGCATGATCGTTCCTGGTTTCCTATGTAATCTGCACATTTGGGTTGCAATTCCAGTGCACTCCAACTTTGCTCCTCTGAAAATCTCCCACCCACCAGAGGAGAGGGAAAGGAAGAGTTAATGCACAAGCCAGCTCTGCTGAGTAGGAGAGAGCAGGCAAACAAGTGCCTGCTTGTTCAGACCCAAGGGAGGGGAGAGCAGGGAGGGCTGCAGGCTGTCAGGGGAGAGTTTGCTGCATCTTTTTGGTCTGAACACACCATGCTGAAGATGCCAACGTGATCCTTAGGAGAAAACAGATTCCAGCTGCAATCCACTCACTCCCCAGGGGTGGGATGCAGTGAACACAGCTGTGGGGAACCCAGTGTATCCAGCCCAGGGCCCTGGGAGCAGGACCAGGGAGGGTGCCCAAGGGAGGCAGCAATGCCCCCAGGAGCAGGACTGGGTACCAGCTCTGCTCCGAGCCATGCACTCCAACCACAGCGAGAAAGCACCAGCTGCTGCCGACCCTCCATGCGGGCCCCACAAGCCCGTGGGGACTTTCGGAAAGAGGGAACAAAGTCCCAGGAGAGCGCGTGGAGGAGATGGCACCACAGCAGCCGTGCAGAGCAGAGGGATGGATGGAGCGGCATGTGCTCAAGGGCCAATCGGCCCAGCGCAGCCCCTGAGGGAGCTCCTGTCCCGGGGGGCCGCGGCAGCGCTGAGGGGGCGGCGCAGGCCCCGGCGCAGGCAGACGCCCTCGTAGGCGGGGAGGCCGGGCACAGCCCGGGCCAGCTGACGGTGCAGGGCCGGGATCGGGATCGGGGGGAACACCCGCAGTGGGCTGGGCTTCCCCGGGGTTACTGCCGGTCGGCGGGGCCCGGAGCCGCGTGTGTGCAACAGCCCACGGCGCCTGACCGCGCCGGGCCAATCCCGCCCCGCCGCCCGGCCCGGCCCGGCCCGGCCCCGCTGCCGCCCTGCCCCGGCCCCGTTCCCAGCTCCCAGCCCCGCCCCTGACCCTCGTTGGACTTTCTCAAAAAAAGCGCCAGATGCTGGAGTCGTGGGAAATGCGAGCACTTCAAGTCGTGTTTAAAAATGAGCTCTGGGTTTAGCTTTAAAAAGACAGTAGAAAAAAATCCGGGAGGCAAATCATTGTAATTCAGTATGCGTGTGGACGCATGTAGTCACAATCAAATACGGACCTATATGTACATATACATAAATAACACAAAAGTATCACTCATAAAGCAGAATACTTAGATTTGGAAGAGAGGCTTAAAAGTACGACTTTCATGCAGATAAACGTTAACTGTGTTATAATCTGGTAGTTTTGTAACTGTATTTTGAAAGTTAGCATTACATGAAAACAAGCAAATCCTCTCTCACTTTCATTAATTAATTCTTAACTAAAGAAAAAAACCCTTGTAAAATTGTGTCTTGCATTTCTTTTTAAACTGCATGGAAAGATACAACACTTTGCAGAACAAATAGTATTTCATAAGAGAGAACACAGTGACGACAGCTCTTACATGCCACTTTGGCTTTGTAACAAACACAGCTGTTTGTTTTACTTTTTTTTTTTTTTTTTCAGTTATCCTAAAATAGCTTTTTACAAAACTCTGGTCTTTATCACTTAAACAGAAAAAATGCTTATCCCTTTTGAAAATAGCTATGACCTTCAGGCACCTTATATGCTAGGTGAAGTTATCATTTTGACAAAATCATCCTAATTACGTGATCCTTACGTGTTCTTTCATCTACGGAGAGGTCTAACGTTCTGTCACATTTACAAAGTTATATAAAATTAAAAATTTCTAAGCTAATAACATAATTCTGGTAACCCCTTTCATGTGACTTTTAATGTTCAGAAACAGGAAGAGACTTACACAATCATAATATTTCTCTCCTTCCTTGTCTTTTTGAGTTGCCTAATTACATACTGGTTATTCAAATATCACACATTTTACTCCGTATTATCAGCTAAAATAGATTTGGCCTGATCCTGAATCCCAAAGAAATGATGCTTGGATATGTTGTTCTTGGGTGGTCACTGGTAAGTGCATCATTAGAAAACAAAGATAATTATTTTAAAAGCCTTGAATGACTACAACTCTGACTGAGGTGAAGATGTTTTCTCAAGCAGGTGCAGAACATCAGGCTGCTCTTCACTCACCTGTCCACTTCAGCCTGATCCCCCTTCAGCCTGATCACCTGATCCCCCTTCAGCCAAAAGTCTTTCAAGATGACTCAGAGATCATGTGTCTCTTTTCACAGGGCAAAGATGGTGGGGACAGGTTTCAATTAACTTCAGCAATTTTAAACATGTGTGAAATCCACTTTGGTTAAATAAGCATCCTCTAGTCAGAGGAGACACGGAGGTGGTGCTCACAGTGACTCACAGCAGCAATCTGAGACACCTGTTTTAGAAAAGGGTGAATCATCTGCTGGTGGTGCATCTGTAACTTCTATATACGGATACCTGGATTAGTTTTTGGATGCCTTTTAGATCATGAGTTTGGTGCAATGAGTTCCACGCCTGGATATTAATGAGGAGAGCCCTCAACTCTAAGCATGGGCTCTGAGTGCTCAGAGTGAGAAACGTCATCTGAGGCATCTTGGTGGCTTTGGCCTATGACTAAGCTTCCTTGTTTGTAGCTAAGGAGTTTTAAAATGCCCCAAGAATTACTGGAAATTTGAAATGCACTTGACATATAAGTATAATTTGGTTTTTTTCCTACTGGTGGTGATTAACTTCTGGAAATTGTTTCCAATTTCTAGAGCATCAACAGCTTCCCAATGCTTTAGGGAGACTCACAGCAAACAAGGTCCATAACCAGATGGTAAAAGCAAAGATGTGCCCTCTGACACACACAAAAGGTTCATGGGCACAGGTCTGAGTGGAGCAGACATGGAACAGCCTCACACAGCTTGCAGGCTCTCCTAAGCAGCCTCTCTGGCTGCCACTGATGGAAAATATGACATGTCGGGCATGTACAGTGGGATCAGGAATAGTTGGCAGTAGTTACCCTGCTCTAAATTCTGCTTTCATGACACCTCCTGTTACAGCATGGGGACACAGAGGGCTGGAATCACTGTGGATCCCAGGATCCCACCCAGCTTTGGAGGCAGCACTCCCATTCCTCTATGTCATTCCTTCCAGATCTTTTGGGTCTCTTCCCAGGCTTTGTTTGAGCACTCCAAGCCTCCAAGGAGGCCAGCCATCAAATTATCAAGATGTTTGATGGCACATAAAATAAATACTGCATCTTTGGGAAAGAGGCTCATAACTGAGTTTGCCACTCCTGACTAACAAAGCCATCTCAGACTCATAAATGAATATGTCCTTCAGACTAATGGCCACGTAACATACTGGAATTGATGCTGTGGAAGATTCTGCAGACATGAGAGTTTTCAGGAAAGACATCTCTAGAATTGCAAGTAACAATGCAGTAGCTTTGTTTTAATATTTGTGTGGTATTTATTTTCTGCATTTATGAGATTTTTTTTTTTTGTCTCTAGTCTCTCCAATGCCAGTTAAGCTGAGTCATATGCTGGCAGAGCATTAGAGGTTATAATAGAGAAGCATCAAAAAGGGAAATTTTTGTTTCACAACTAGCTTTAATTTGGATTCAGGAAGGTGAAAAAATGAAGGAAAAATTTACAAAAACTTTTTGGATTTATCTGAAAATAGACAAAAAGCTCTCAGCTGTGTTGATTGCTCATGAGGCAGTTTCAGCCTTAAGTGTTTGCCTTCCTTTGTCTTTGATTTGACTCCGTCCGTTCCATGTAATAGCAAACTGAAAATATTGAAACCAGGAAATTTCAAAATGCCCAGAATATCTTTTTTCTCCTTCTGGTTTCAAACAGTGTTTCAACTATGATGACCACATTTTCTGCAGGCAGGTGGCTCTCTCAGTGGAATTTATCCAGTCAGAAGGATGATGCAGTTTTATACGGGCTGGGCCAGCCTCTAGTCTGAATCACTACTAGTGAATTTATTTGGTTCCCACTCTGCTGTTGACTTCCTAGGTAATGATGTGCAGGTCTCTTAATCCTCCAGGAACCGGGAAAATTCTGCTTTCCTCCTTCCCAGGTTTTCTGCTGTCCTCTGTGGACAAAAGTCTTCATGTTCCACATCCAGAACAGGGAAGCCAGAGCATGGTGAGGGATGTTTTAGGACAAAGAGCTATCATAGAAATCTTTCATCTTACTTGCTTTACTCAGAGTTCAGCCATTCCTGTTTCTCCAAAGTTCACAAGGCAGGTTCTCAGGCCATCCCTCAGTCTTTGAGGAAAACCAGAGCACAGTGTCCCATCCTTTGCTACTACAAGAAACCCTTGCCATAACAAAACTCCTTTGCAATGAAAGACACTGAAACAGTGAAGCTGTTTATCCCAGGAGATGCATGGAGAGTTTTTTTTTTTTTTTCTCAAGAGACTCAAATCAGTTCCAATTGCACATTTAAATACATAATGCTTTTGAATGATTTGATGGATTGAGGCACAGCTCTCCTAGCTTGTTCTATACCCTCATCCTTATCTGGATGCCTTGAGCTAACAGAACAGCACAGACTGATAATAAATGCTTCTGGCATGAGAACTGGACACATTTGATTTCTTAACAACATTCTTAGCTCCTTCTTCTATCTGAGCAGGTACAGGACATACTGCAAGGATCACTAATTGCCTGACATCTTTGTCAGTAACCTCTTAGCTGAGTTTTCCCTGCCCTGGTGAGTTACTTTCATTGAGCTGCAGTATGGGCTGTGCTGTGATAGATTTCTGTTTGGCTGGAGAAACACTTCTGCATCTCCTGCCCAGTGCTGCTCTGCCACGCACCAGTAGAGCCACTAAGCTGGGGCACAGGAAAGCTCTAAGCTCAGCCTCTTTGCCCTTTAGTTGCACCCTCAAGATACACCTCCTTCCCACGTGGCCAGCACATACAGACATTTCCAACCCAAATGTTTGTCTGGGCACAGTGTATGGTATCAGTGCCAATGGCCTCCAGCCTCTTCTGGTGCCCAAGAGATAGGGCAGAAAGCTTTCCAAGCCTCATGACATCAGCTCTAGCACAAGGGTGGTACCACACACATCCTTATAAATGTGCTTGCTGTTCACTATCAGTGTTCAAATGCATAAGACTGCTCCAGGCATATAAAATAGCATATAAAATAGTAAATATTTATAAAATCAGTCTGCGATCAGGTATTGCATCTTTAACACAAACCCCTTCAGAGGACATTAGCTTATTAAATGCACTCAGTTCCATTCTGTGAGGAGACTACTGCAGAGAAAGAACTGTTTCCTGGTCATGAGGAGGCCCCAGTGCAGCAGTAAAAGAGAACAGTGCTGACTTAGAAAGTGAGTTAGCTTAAAGATAATTACCTTCATCCTCAGTGTAAAGTATGAGACACTGTAGACAAGCTGGCATAGATAAGGCACCTCCCAGTAAAAGCTCAGATTTATAATGACTGAAAAAGTGCCTCCTTTCTGGTGTACTTGCAAATAGCTTTTACATGGCTTAGAGGACAGGGTTAGGCAGCCCTTCCTGTTGGGGGAGATAGGGACACTGATACAAAAGTGTTCTTACTGCAAGATAGCAATTACAAGAGTACCATTGCAGAGAAACCAGCAGCAGAGGCTGAGAAATAACCTGGCTGCCATAGAACTGTTTGACTGAATCGGCAGGGAAAAGTGGGTGGAAGCTAATTCCAGTTAAGGGCATGACTGGTAGCAAATGCTTCAGTTGCCATGACTGGCAGGGTGTCTATGACAGTGACAAATAAATAAAGAAGCGGAGGCACTTGGCACTGCAAACCCCCACTGAAGTCAATGCAGAGCACGGTCTGTCAAGAAGGGCTGCTCTGATTTCCCAAATGACAGCTCTGTAGTAAGCTGGGTAAGAAACTCAGCCTTGTGAAACAACCTGTAGCGCTTCACTTAGCACTTAAATCCACAGCTAGTGACTCTGCTTCACTGACAGAGTCACATGGCCTTTTCACACTTTCCTCCTGGTTTATACTTTTTATCACATGATACACAAGCTACCCCATGTTTTAAATTTATAGTTGTGTGTGGGACTTCTGAATGTTGTTGCAAACTGACAGCAAATGCTAGCGAGGGAAAGACATAGGATGTATGCTAACCTGCACACCTGCCAACTTCACCTCCCCCATCACAAGGAATAGCTACACAGTCAGCTGTCACACACAGCAGCACAACCCTCTCGGTTTTCTTCACTGGGCTATGTGGTGAATGAATTTACTAGCTCAGAATGTTTCTCCATTTTGGTTCCTCCTAAAAAGCCCACTTCTCCCGTTTCCTTGGTTACAGTAGTCAGATTCCCCCATGCATCCTGGCTGCCCTGCTGCTGGCTGTGATGTGGATCAGAGCATCAGGCTGCTGATAGATCAGAGGCACTGGGTCTGCTGCAGCTGCACTAAAAGCCAGCCCTCCAGGTAAGACAGGGAACAAGATCTGAGGGATCCTGCAGTAGGGAAGGGCCCATGTAATTGTGATCAAGAACCCTAAAACTTCATTATCTCAGTGCTCCTTTAACCCAACCCTTATTCCCATCCACTTTGGCTTTTCATGGCCAGAGCCTCTTCAGAGGGCCAGACTCTATGGATGTGAAAAGGGAAGGCTGGATTTAGGAAGAATGTCAGAGCACTTATCCTTTTCCTTCACTGTGGGCACCCAAGATGGCAATACTCCTTTCTCCAGGCTAGCTGGCCATCTTTAAACATGCAGGCTGGTCATCTCTAAACCATTTACAGCTCAGAATTCTTTGGAGATGCTTGCTGTGCAGCCAGGAATAAGGTTTTTTCTTTCAGCAGCAGAAGATCAAGACTCATCTGGGCAAGACCACAGAAAGCCAACCAGGAGCACTGGCAAAAGCACCAGTGTGTGCCAGCGCTGCTCAAAAAGGAGCCAGACTGAGACCTGCTAAAGGAGCAGACTGTCTCATTAACCACACATATAGGAAAGCCCCAAGCAAACCTATTCATGAGTAACCAGCACTGCATGCCATATGGCTGGGATCCACAGAGCTCTCTCCTGGTTTGAAAGCTTGGGCCATCCTGCTCTGGTAAGTTCCCATGCAGGGCAGAGATGTAAATTGGTATCTACTGGGTGCTATGCAATTACACTGCTCCTCCCTAACCCTTCTAGGGTCTGCAGGGAGCTTTGTTCTTCACCATGCTGGTCATTACAACTCAGCTGTCAGAAGAGGTCATTGCTCCATGGATGAGAGAGCTGGAACACCAGGGGAACCCCAACCAGCCTGCAAAACATGAAGAGGAGCTGTGGCAGAGAGTCTTTCTATGTGTCACATACAGGCTCTTAAACCAGTTGGAGCAGGTAAATGTCAACTCCATCCATGGGAAGATGACAGCATCAGTGTGCTCAAGTACTGGTATCCATCCAGCTTATTCTAAATGAATTTGAGCCCACCTTAGGCCACAGTATCACATACTCTGCAGAGGACATACATGTTCTACCACCACCCCAGTTAAATGCGATCTCCTGGTATTGTAGAAGCCCCCTTTGTACAAGTTTGTGTGCTTCTATAGATTCAGGTGGAGAAATAGTCACCAGGAAAAAGGTGTCACAGGACAAAGTCAAGACAGATATATGCTAAAAGATATTATGTGAAAGTTTCCTAGGTGCTGATAAGCTTCAGAGATAACTAATCCTCATGCAAGAAATTATAAACTTAGACCGCCAGTGTTTAATGCTCTGCAAGGCCGCCAGCACACATTAGAACCTGCAACAGGTTGTATAACTTGGATTACACCCAGGAGGGCAGCAGCTGCTCTATGCAGGTTAAGAATACAGAGTTATGTATGCAGGTGGTGAAACAAAGTGCCCTCTGAAGGAATTTCTAAAGACCTGCCCAGAAGGCAGTGGTGAGCCAGGATGACCTTCTGCTTCCAAGCATTCACATTGGGATTGGCCTTCTGATGGCTGCTCCCACTAACGAGTGAACATGAATGAGTAATATGTTGTGTGAATAGCTATCTGCTTCACTAATAACACCTTGATTCTATTAACAGCAGCTGATGAATAAAAGATATTTTAAGAAATAGCAGTTGTAATCTGAGTTTTCCCCCAAGAGTATTCCATATAAAAGAAAACAGGACCTTATACTACCTGTTTGGGAAAAACATGTTAAAGGGAGTGTGGCAAGCATAACTCTTCATGGTGGCGCCTGCAGATCCAGCTAGGACAGACAGTACTAGCACAGGACAGCTTCTGTAACAAAACAAACCACGTGGAAAGCTCAGTGAAACACATGCTACTCTTTGCCAGAGAGAATTGGTGGCTGTGGGGAACATGTTCCTCCCCCAGAAATATACTATAGGAAATTCAGTCAAATTCAGCCCTGTGGAGGGTCTTGACAGGAACCACGTGCATGTCTGTAAGGGCAAAATCTCTTCAAAAGGAGAAGGTCCCACGTAAGAGCCAGCTAAGTGCTTTCTGCTCCACCACCCACAAGTTGTCTTCCCTTCATGCTTGAATGCATGGCTGGGGACCATGAACTGGCAGACCCAACTCTGCCACTTTGTCACTCTGCAAACATGGGCATTGCTCAAATCTGCTGTTTTACTAAAGTACCTCCACATGCCTTGTGGCCTCCACAGATGTCCAGAGAATCTGTGCAAACTCATCACTTCTAAAGCAGAAAAGTAACAAGTGCTGGAAGTCACGCTGATGCAAATAAATGAGGACCCCTGACAATTTATCTTAATAACCCTCCCTTTTAATCTGCCTCCAGGTAATCTGCATTCCCATCTCTCCAGGGCTCTGAAGTTTGTACCTCCAATTAAGCAACAGTCAGATTTTTCCATCTATAAAAAGAATGTGAGGTTGTTTGACTACCTATTGCACCAAAACTAGCTTTATTGTGTCAGACCAAAGGTATCCTTTGACTAACCACAGCCAGCAGCAGATGCTTTGAAGATGCTATAGAAGAACAGCCAGATTATATCTGGACCTCTATTTTTAATAACTACCAATAACCTCACCTTCTGTGAAGCACTCCTTCCATGTAAGTACTGAAAGGTTTGAGCAGATCACACAATCTTGCAGCTCCTCTCCAGAGAAAGTTTATAACCCAAGTGGCAAAATCCCCATCTACAAATACAGGCACAGAGCTTCCTTGCAAGAGGCAGCCCAGAGCATTCATGGCAAAGCTGAGAATCAAATGCAGTCTCTTGCCACTAGGTTATATTTTCAAAACTATCTGTCCAAAACATGACAAGAGTGATTAAACTAAAGAAACAAAAGCTTTGACAGATTAAATCTCCTTTCAGATTTTCTGGGGCTGTTTCAGCCTGATTGCTGAAATCCCTCTTGCACACCTGACCTTCAAGCATGCAGGAGCACAGTGCTAGCTCATGCCCAGCCATTGAAGCAAAACTTCCTGCTTGATGAGCTTATTGCCTCCAGTAACTCCTTCAGTACCAGCACACTGATATCAGCAACATTATGATTTATTAAGACATGCAACAGATTTTTCCAGTGTTTTCCCTCCCCCACCATTGTCCTCACTGATGAGGTTCTGGCTTTGAGAGCTTTCTGGGTGCTGGCAGCTGGAGCTGGCAAGCTGTGGTCAGCAAACATTTGCAATCAGCAGCTGACTTCCCACTGTCACCTGCCTGCATGGGCTGATAATGAAATGTTTGCTCTTGTGGCCAGTACCTCATTTTGAGGGCAAAAGAAGGCCCTCCAGGCTGTGGGACCTCCTGAGCCTACACATTGCCTACAGCTGTTGGATTTGTTTAGTGCTCAAGTGAAAGAAGCCAAATAGTGTGTGATCGAAGAACAGGGAAAATGAGCTGGCTCAGCTATGCTTTAATGATATTAGTAATGAATTTTTATTCACTCAATGTTCTCAATTCTTGCTTCCCTTTTTCCTCTAATCTCTTTTGTGTGTGTGAAATGGGTGATATCAGTCCTGCTGAGACAGTCCTGAAAACTTTGCTTAGCTTTGTTACTTCCACTTCTGCCTCAGACTTTAAGGAAAGCCTTTGGGGTGTAAGCACCTGTAGAGCTACAGGAACTAATTTCTAATCCTCTCTACCAGTGCCAAAACATTGTCAAATCCCCACTCTTCTAGCAGAAGCCTCCCAGCTTCAGAATGCAACATGCCTTCACCTCTGCCCGTGCACCAGCAAGTATGGCAGCTGATGGCATGGCTCCAGTGCCCTCTAAAGCTTCCCCACTGCTGCTGCCAGCAACCTAAACAGAAGTCCTCTTCTGGCATTTAGAAAGCCTTAGGGCATCAAGTGAGAGTTCTCCAAGGCTATATTGCCAGAAATGCCAGAGGGGAGCCAGCAGGAACACTAAGATTAAATCCCATCACTTTAGAACATAAATTAATTACAGAGCAAGGGAATCTGTATGAGGTAATTTATACACCTACTCAAGTTAAACCCCAGTTACATCAATTCCTTCCCCTCAGAGAAGTGTCTCTGGTCTGGCTTTGTATGCAACAAGGTGAGCATATCAGCTTCTCCATCAATAGGGCAGAAATTTCCCACTCCCCTTTACCCCTGTAAAAGTCTAATAAGAATTTTTAAAATGTGATTTTTTTCCTCCCTGATGCATAAAACACGAACTGAAGCTTATTCCCACTCTGCCACTGATCAGCTGAGCAACCTCTTCCATATCTTCCTGTTCCTTCTTCACAAGAAGTACTAATTCCACTGCACCTAGCACTATGCAACAAACGCCTGCTGCAGCCTGTGATCCTGCTGCACCCATTAAAGCAATAACTGGACCTATCCTATGTGGCCAGAGGCTTGGCAGAGCAGTTGGGTTTGAACCATCCACAGCCTATTTGGTTCTGCAATCTTGATTAAGATCTTTTTTTGCAAACGAAGAAAAAATCAATTGTGGGCCCAAAAACCTTTTAAAATTTCACATCAGTAAGTAATAAAAAGATTTGCAAACTGTTTATTTGCCAAGGGATGAAAGAGCAGGGGTATAGCTACTGGTAGCCTTCCAGTTTAATACCTGCTTTTCAGATATCAGAGATATCTGTTCAGATCTAATAGGGGTCCCAGTGGACACTGTTTGAAAATCAAACTCTCATTTTCCCTCAGACCAGTTCCTGTCAAGCCCTGCAGGGACATGGTCACACTAACACAAGTGCCAGATTTTCTGTTTGGCTACAAGCACCAGGGAGTTGCAATTTTTGGCTGAGCACAGCAACTGGAGAACAGTGACCCTCAGATAAGAGTGGTGCCAGGAAAATGGCTGTTTGATGCAGTCCCACACTCTCTGACATGTGAGGAACAAGGGGTTACTTCAGTGGAATGTCCTGACCAGGCACTGCCAGCATGACAACTTTCACTCAGGATGACATTACCCAGCCAAGGCAGCAGGTCAGTGACAGACCTCACCCAAGGATGGCCTCAGTCTCCAGACCTCTGATGGCACTTCCTGGAGCTCTGCCCCTCCACCCCAGTATCTGAGAGGTCATCAGCTGAGAAATACTCCTGGCTTGCCCAAAGAGATCCCACAGCAGACCTGCTCTGGCATAGGGAAGAGCCTACCAACGAACTATTAAGACGTTCAGAGACCTAAAAGCCATAGCTTTCCTGTGCCCCTGGAAGAGGGCACAAAGGCACTTAAAATAGCAGGGCTCTACTCATCCAAGTATGCTTCCCTCCCTGAGAGCAGACCATGCATTGCTTTGCTCCCCTTCCACTCCACGATACCAGTTAGAATAAGTAGTATTCAAATTCATCTGTTTCCCCTTTTCTCTAGCAGCTGCTTTAACCTTAACCAATGGCCTAAACCACAGAGTTTCTGAGGCCTAATCTCCAAACCTGCATTACAGTTTTGCTACAACCCACCCTTTCCCTAGCACATATCATCAATACCCTACATGCCCACATCTCCCAGTCTTCCAGAAGTTCTATCCCCATAGTCCCCTTTTATAGGAAAGTCCAACTGCTCAGCTGCCCTCTCTTCCCTAGAAATCCTCCCACCTGAAAGGAGGGATAGGGCATAACTGAAGTTCAGTGGGAGTCAGTCTACTTTTTGTAGTTTCCAGCTTGTGCTACTTTCAGTACAAACTCTAAAATGCACAGGCTAAGCCCCCAACTAGGCCTGAAAGAAATTTATTAACATATTTGACTGACCATAAGAGAATGATCCACCATCTTAGCCTTGCATAAAGGACACCCAGCCCAAGGCTTTTATATACAGGTGATTTTGGAAATCCTACCAAAGACAGTGTGAAGCAGAGTTTTCAGAGGGGAGGGATTCTATTTTTCAGAAACCAGAGATTTTTATGACTTTTTTGTTGTTGTTGTTTTTGATTTTGGTTTTTGTGGTTTTTTTCTTTTTTTAAAGATGTTTTCTGAGTTTTGCCCTTGGAAACTTGGTAGTAATTGCTAGTTCCTCAGGAATTCTGGCTTTTGTTCTGTCAAGATAGCCCAGCAAAGTGGGAGGAAAACCAGCTCCAAATTAGCATTTAGCTGATGCTACAAACATATTTGGGGCCACCTTCTCCCTGTTATTATAGGGCTTAGCACATTTTGAATGTGTGTGCTTTGACACGCCTCAGATGAAGCCCCAGCTGTGTCTGCTGGTGGTCCAAGCCAGAAGAGTCACTCAGCTCTCAATGAGAGGTATCACATCGAGGGCACACTGGGGTAAGGTCACAAGAGAACACGGCACTGGACACTCTTCCCATCTGTTGTAGCATTGAGGGAAAAAATCTCAGAGGACTGAATGGTTTTTTGGAGGTCCTACAACCTCCCTTGAGGCACATAAGGCACTTGCTCCTTTGGTGTTTGGGAAGATGGTGGACATGACAGGATGCTGCTGAATTCTCCTCGACTACATCATTAATGCATTTGTTTTGGGAGAGAAGGGGAAAGAGACCCCTTGTTTAGTGGAAATGCTGATAAAGTCCTGATATCCAGATACTTCTTCTGAGAGGAGAACCTGTTACTGGGGTCAGCTTAGCAAGGAAAATGCCATTTGATTTCTGGCAGTAGGGCCAGAAATGACTGCAAACTGCTTTGCCTTTGGCCAGGCATTTGAGAGATTGCCACATTATTTATCTAATAACGGAGTGAAGAAATCTGAACAGGATAAAAATAGCAAGGCTTGGATTAGAAAGTGGATGGCTAATGAGGAACAGAGGTTCACTGTTGCTTTGGTATTCCTACTGTTGCCAGGAGGATCCTGCACAGTGTGGATATGTGTCTATTGAGCTGGGATGGAGGGGACACATAAGGCACCAAACTGGCCTAAGGAAGCACTACCAGGTCTATTGAATGACTGACTGATGTCTGGGTTAAGAGAGGTAGTAGTACACCAATGAAAAAACTCTCTGGTATAGGCTGCACACAAACCTGCTTCTTGCAGCCCAGCAAAGCTGGAAGACACTCTTGGAGGTGAGGTACACTGGGGGTCTGCTCTTGTGCCACACAAGATGGGAAGTTCACTCTCTTAATGACAGGGAAAATCAACAAGAACATTAATGGTTCTTACACTACTTGTGCTCAAAATCTCTCCATTAAAATGTCCTTTGTGAGATTTTTTAGTCAAAAGGGAGTTTTCCTTAAGAACTGATGCTTCCTATCTCCTGTGGTATTTGTAGCCTGGACTTAAAAATGGAAAAGGGACTGGAGGGCTGGAGGGTCCAGTCTCCTCAGACCTGCGTTTTTGCCCCTCCTCAGATGGGTAGAGTGTTCCCTTGTAAGGGAGGAACCAGTTCCTTCTCTGGTGCCAGTGAGTTACTCAGCTCTCTAAGGAGCTGCTCCCTGCAGAGCCACAATTGCTACAAAATTGCCCTTTGGGATCCAAGACTTGGAGTTAATTTCTTTTCCCTGCTCAGCAGGAAGCATCTAGCAGGCAATGGAAATGGCACATACACTGTGTCTGAGGCGCAGCGCTGCCTCTTGGAGGGCACCCACCTCCACTCCGACTGCAGAAGTTACATCTTCAGTCATTTCAAAGACATTAAATGGCTTTACATACACAGTTTCCTCGGTCACTTCTTATCATGTGTCTGATCTGGAGTCAGTATGGCCAAAGGATTGTTCAGATAAATTGTTTCAAATATAGACTCGGATGCTTTTATTAACATAATGAGTGAAGGCTGCCATCAAGATCAAGGTCACCATTGTTCTGGGTGCTGCACAGTATCAGTACTACATTCTGTATTTCCACGCTATGAGACACGCACTGTCTCCAAAAGCTTAGAGTCTAAATAGACATTTGAATGGGGAGAGAGATTGAAGCATGTGAAAGAGGAATAATTTATCCATGATCAAAGGCTGAGCTGGAATTAGAAGAGCCTGTGTCCTGGGTGGGATCTGTTATCTCCTCTTAGCATAACCAACTACTGACACCATCTGTAAATACTCATAATAAGAACATCCCAGGAACAAGACACATGTAATTTCTTAGGACACTCTGTTCTTCCTCTGGTTACAATCAATGGGCAGGTAAGGGCTGTTGCAGCTACATGCAAGGCTTGGGATGCAGCAAAAACAGGCAGATCGTGGTTGTAAGAATGACTCCTGCCATATGCAATCATCTTTCAGCAGACCCAGGGTGCTAATAAAAAAATCCTTTCACAGAGTGCAGTGTGCATTATTAGCCGGAGTAAGAGCTGAGGCAGCATCGCCACCCTGGAGTCGGACAGGGAACTGCAGGCGCGATGTGTCTGCCCTACAGATTCCCCTTCGGTCACCCAGATGGCACGAAGTCTGAATTATGTTGCCATATTTCTCTAAACTGAGGAGAGGAATGGTTGACTCTGTCTCCAAACAGGTACTGCAATCTGACAAGACAGAGTCTGGGAGTTAGCTAGTCTTTCACAGTGGCAATGGGTAAGGATAAAGCTACAAAAAGTACCTTATTCCAAAAAATACCACCCTGTGATGGATAAATATGAACATTTGTATAAAGAAACTATATAAATAGTGTCTTCTAATGTGGTGGTTCGGGTTTTTTGCTGCCTTCTCTCATGGCTTTGTCCTCCACAAAGTAGGGCTCATTCCTACTTTGCATATGTTAATGTGAAACCAGTGCAAGCTCTGATGTTGATTTTCATTCTGACACCAGATACAGGTCCCCATATAAATGCCAGTGTTTGGGAAAAGCTGACTTTATTCAGGATCTTCTTGTACTCCTGAGGCAGTGCCATCCCAGTGTACTGGGGTCTCAGCTCACAGCAACCTTTGGCCAGAAGCCAGGATGTTCTTGCATCTTCTGCTCATTCTGAGCAGCAATTTGTTGTATGGGCACCCTCAGCTCCCTCTTCTCACTATTAACAGGCTATATCCTGGTTTGTTTTCAGCTCAGATGTACCATATGAGACACCATTGGGCTGCCTGAGTCTGGGCAAGTCATTATCTATGTCACGCCTCAGTTACCAGCCTCTAGTCAACAGCTGACACTTCATAAGTATACTGAGAGGTTTCAGTAGCCCATGTCCTGGGATGCTGCAGTGGATGGAGATGAGATAAGAATGACTTGGTAAAAGATTTATACAAAGTAGGCTTGACTGCTGTCAGTTGTGACAAATGAACATAACAAGCCAAAAGTTTGTTACCAAGTATTGACTCCCCTCAGCAGCACCTGACAGCACAGAGCTCTCTTTCCTACCTGTGATTCAAGCACTCAAAAAAAGCTTATTATTTCTAGCCACAATTCTTTTTCCCTCATTCTCTGCATCTGCAGTTTTTAGGACTCAGGGAAAATCTTGATTAGGACACAGACCATCTCTTAACTTACAACTGAAATATCTGGTTCATTTTAGATGGAAAAAGACACATCTCCTTCAGAGAGTGTTGTGCTTCAATAAAGCACCTCTTTGTGGTGGCCACATCAGAGGTGAAACCTTGTCCAGGCTGGCAGTATGAAAGCCAAGGGGCTTGTTCCAAACAGGCAAAAAAGTGTTGGTTTTTTGTTTATGCCTCATTCTTGCGACACTTATAAAAGGGGTCAGGGCAGTCTGTCTGTAACATTTTTCCAACAACCATCATTAAAAGTGCTTCATGTTTAAGATTGTGACAGAAAGCCTGATAGTGGCTCTGTCAGCAATGACATTTGCAAAGGATTGGTGATAGATTTTGTGGTGCCAGTTTATCCTGACCATCTTGGAGCTGTTTCTTCATCTTGGTTGCCTGACTCAGCCTCCAAGCTCATCATCATCATCATCATCACCATTTATTGGGACTGGCTGACTATTTTGACAAAAGAAATAGTCCTAGTCAATGCAGATGACACTGGGGAATGCTGGAGCTGGAGCCAGATCCTGCACCCTGGGTTTTATGGGGAAATGATTCAGCTTTCCTTACAGCTTGCTGGGAGCCACCGCACCCCATGGGCTGATCTGATGCTCACCACTAAAATGCAGCCACTCCCAACGTGAGGAGTAGCAACAAGTATTACATGCAAGGTCAAGAGGAGTCCTTGGCCAAGGACAGAGCAAAAAGGATCCAGTATTTTAATGTACAAACACTGAACGTGTGAGATCTCTCAGGCAAATAGCCTGGAGCCACACTCAGCAAGTTTGGCTCAACACAGAGAGGCCCTATATGCCTGCTCAGTGTCACTACCCCCATAATCTGGCAAGCCTTTTGACATTAGGTGTTCATTGGAAAGTCCGATTGCCTGGAGCCCAGCTTGCCTTTTTTACGAGAGAACAGCATGTTCCCAGCTCTGCCATTTCCAGAGGAAACAAGCCCCAAGAGTACATTAAAGACTTGGACACAAATAGCTTGCACTGTGTATTATTTTCAAGCTGGTCTCATGATTTTACAGGTCTGACTCATTCCGGATAAATGCAGAAGGTTAGTCATGATAGCTGTAGACAAAGAGGAAGGACCTCACTGGACTTACCCCAGTGCAGTTTCCATTGCTGTTGTCGGGCAAAGAGCTGAGCCAGATTTGCTGGTCCCTGATCCTGGGTTTGTCCCAGGACCTGTTAAGGGGCATATCAGTGAGAAAGTGTGGACACATATCTGTGCATACTGCTGACAGCCTTACAGCCACCTTCCTGCTGAGAGTTGGGGAGCATCTGCTCATCCCTGAGCTAAGGCCAGATGTTGGTAGGGGTCTCATTGGCCACCACAGTGGCTGGCTGTGGGAAGTGTGCTGCAGCACACAGGTGGCAGCTGCACTGTGGCACTGCTGTCACCTCCAGCTGTGGGCACAGCCACCAGCAGCTCCACACCACTGCCGTGACACAGCCAGTCTGCCTCATCTTTGGACTTTACCTACTCCGAGGCCTCAAGATACTTGGTCTGGAGAAACAGGAAGGAGAAAAGGAGAATTTTTATGCTTGCATCTTGTGCACAGCCTGTTGTCTGTGCTGGACATGGCCATGTCTAGAAGAGCAGCATTTCCCTGCACCCCTGCAATCCAGGGATTCTCTTCCACAGGAGTGCTGAGCCGCAGCCCAGCTGCAGGCCAGGCTGGGAGCACCATCTGCTGGCTTTGACAAGGCAGGCTGGCTTGTCAGAGGGACAAATTACAGGGTAACCCAGAGCTGCACAGTCATTAGACTGCACAGCAAATCAGAGATGAAAAAATCACAGGGCTGGACAAATCCCTCAGCTAAAGCTCCTCCTGTCAGCCTCACAAAAGGGGCTCCAAACCAGTCAGTCTTTCTGCACTAGAGCCAAACAAACTGATTTGGGCGAAGGAGATCCACTTGTAAGTTATCTGGAGTTATTTAGGGCTCTTGCAGAGCTTGCAAAGAGTTTCAGCTAAAGAAGTTTGAAGCATTTCACTGAGCAGTCTTTTAAATTCTTCATTCTGACAGTTCAAAATGTAGTTTTGTTTACAAGTATTCCCAATAATAATAATACTGAAGGGGGCATTGAGAGCCTGAAAAGGAAAGAAATTGTATGTCTCCAGTGCAACAGTGGGCCTGTTTAAGCAGCTCCCAAGTAGATTTTTCTTGGGTTCCTCAGGTCAAGTCACTTCCTCTGATGTATGATGGATGTGTCCCATCCCCACAGTTCACTGCAGTGGACAAGGATCCACTGAGCTGTCCTTGCATGAACCTTACAGAGAACCTACAAATGTGAGGATCCTCCCAGCACTGGCAAAGCACAAGCAGACCTCACAGGAGGCTGCTCTGCGTGCGTCACCCTTGCACAGAACAGCGTGGGGGAACAGTGCTAGGTTACAAAATCCACCTTACAGCAAAGAGGTCGCACCACTGTTGGCATCTGCTGGTGTGTCAATACTGTCTTTAATGGCACAGTCTCAGACTGGTACAGATAAACACAAAAATAAACAAAGAGGCTTCTGGGCACACCAGCACCTTTCTTGCCTTTTCAGAGCCAAAATGCTAAAAATTCCATGTTTATTTCCATTGCATGCTAGTTGATCTCATGAAAGCATTTCCCCAGCCTTTATTTGGCTTTGTTTCTAGAGCCACTTGACTGAAGAAGCAGAATAGCACAGGGTATGTCCAGTACAGGACTGTGAGCAGCACATACTCCTTCTGGGGGTGCTGGTGGATGTTTTGACAGACTTTAGGCACTATTAAAGATGCATTTAGTCGGTCCAAAAGGCAAAGATATGGTCAAAACAATTGAAATTCACTTAATGCACTGGAAGCTGGACCTTCCTGAGACTATTTCAGCCGTTCCAGGTTTGAGTTCTGTATGTTGCCTACATAAGATTAATTTCCTTTTATTTTGATCTCATACCTTTTATATATCTTTTAACAGAAGAAATTTCAAATTCTTTCTTGACCTTTTTAATGCCCATTTTGTTTTAACAAATCTGTTCTTTGGACACTTTGCATTGACACCAGTAAACTTTTAAGATATCTGTGAGCCAGACTTGGAATTATTACCCCCACTTCTTAACCTCTTTTTTCAAATCCATCCCCATTGGTACTGGGGTGGAAGGAAGCAGGAGTGTTAAAGGCCTTATTTTTCACTTTTTCTCTGACTTTTGTGATAACTTGTACAAGTTATTTTAGGATAGTTAAGATTTTCTCTGTACTCTGGAAATTAAACTTCAACATATTATATTCAAATTTGGCGGGTTTTTTGTTTTGTTTTGGAGTGGCTTGTTTGGTTTTTTTCTTTTTAATAAACTGGGAGTAATTACTGCAGATGGTGGCAGGTTCTCTATCTGCTGCTCTCCTCAAGCCCTGCCTGCCATTCTGGGAAATGGGCAAATAGTCAAACACACATCACAGTACTCAGTGCAAAGGTCAGAAGAGATCTGTATTGGCCAGTGGCTCAAGTGGAGTGAGGTACCTGTTCTGGCCACAAAATGTTTTTTACTTCTCTCTGCATCCATTTAGTAAATGAACAGAGCTTTTGTCAGTAACAATAACAAAACTTGAGGAACATAATAAACAATTTTGCATCTCAATTCTTTATATAGTGCTTCTTTTTAATAGCTTTTGAGAATTGTAATGAAATACTTTGAAATATGTTTGGGACAGTTTTGTTTCAGACTTTGCCTCCAGCTTCTTTGGTTTGAAAAACAGGCTTGTTTCCAGGAAAGTAAGTATTGCATTTAATTGGAATTAGATGTTGGCAAAGAAGGCTGATGTTTCCAAAGCTGCTGGTGCTTCTGTGAGCTTGGAAAACAGCCTGGGTGCCTCTTGCAACAGTTAATAAAAACAATTAATTGCATCTGTTTATTTTAGATCCACCTACTATTATTTTTTTCCTACTTTTTGTAATCTTCTTACTTAATTTGTCATGGAGCAACAAATACAGCTCACCCCAGAGAACCCAATGGTGTCTTTCCTTTTCAATTGGTCAAGAAATGTCTGAAGTGTTGCATGATTTCAAAATGTTGCTGCCGGACCTGAGAAATGTGAAAACTCCAGCTCAAGAATCCTGAGACAGTTGGAGACTTACAAGACACAACTGAAAATTCTTCCCCTTTCTACCATCAGAAATAGATGCCAAATGCAGGATGGTGGCATCTCCTGCATCTCAGCAGTGCTGTCCCAGTGGGACTGAGCCCCTTGGCAGACCCTCAGCTCCCCTGAGGCGGCAGCAGCCTCTGCAGCTGCTCTCTACACCGAGTCCAGTTCAGCCTGGGAGGGGGAGCACAGCCACCTCCACTACTTGAATTAGACCACCAAAACCATTAAACTGTGCTAAACACCACATCATTGAAATTTTGTTTCAACATAATTAATAATTAAAAACAGTATTCTTAAAAAAATTAATTTAAGAATAAATAAAGGGCTATTCTTAAAAAAATTAATTTAAGAATAAATAAAGAGGTGTTTCCCTCACCTTTCAGTTTTTGGTGTTTTATCTTCTACTAGGTAAATTCTCAAGCTTTTTCTCACCATACTTAACATCTTAGTTTTTCAAATGCTTGGGGCTCCAGGACCTGGGGCTTTAATGAGTGCAAATACCATCAGTCTTGCTGTAATAGAACACAGCTGGGGGCACAGCTGGCCCTGGGATAAATTGCTGTCACTGCATTTTCTTCTCCTCTAGGTGCCCAGAAACTGCGCAGCCACCCTTGGGGCGAGGGAGTGCCCTGGCTGAACAGGCAGGGCTCTGGGCAAAGGTAGTGTTTTGGCAGCAGTGTCCTATGTGCTGTGCCTGGCCAGGGCTCCCTCACTTGAGTGCAGCTGGGCTCAGTGTGAGATAGCCAAAATCCATCAGAGAGCAAATCTCTGCTGAGCAGCTTTCCTTTCCTGAGACTCTGGAACCCAGGAGGGACTTTGGTCCACCTGAAGTGTCCCCAAGCAAAGCTCAACTGGCTGCCAGCCCTGCCTGATGGCTCAGAGGATCTGAGTCCTCTTCAAATCCTGCCTGGGTCCAGCACTTCTGCTTGCTAGCTGTGCCCTGGATGAAATGAGTTTGACTGGCCTCAGCCCATGTTTTGGCTGATCATGTCCACAGCACAAAATTCAACTGCATAGTGCGGAGAAGCTCTTCCTATGGCTTTGGGACATGGGATACAACTGGTCCAATGCTGATATAAGGCCAGTCAGGGTATCTGTGGTGGGTGCTGTGACAGTAATTGGGATGTCCCATGTGGCCAGATGCCACCGACTGGATGCACTTCTAAGTAGCTCCAACAGCTACTTAGCCTGGGATAAGCCCTTAGTGGGAGACTTCTAACCCTTCCAAACCAAAGACCGTCTCCCATGGACTTTATAGGAAATGCCAAAAGCAAAAAATTAAGGGGGAATAGGAAGGTTTAGCCAGAGGCCTTTCTCTTGGGGTGAGGATGGCCTGATGCAAACAGGAGGTGGGAAGAAAGAGCAGGTCACCATGATAAAGGAGAAGCAGATGGAGGTAGGAACTGGCCCTGATCCTCCTTAAACTTCTGGGGGAGACTGAGGCAGAGACAATGGTCTCATATCTGTGACCCAAGCAGCAGATGCAGAGAGCCTGAGCCCAATCCCCCCACCCCAGAGCACCCAGTGCACCCCAGCTCAGCAGTATCTCCAATGCAGGAGGAGGAGAGGACACTTCAAAAGCAGCCCTTCCAGTTGCCTTTGCTGAGAATGGAGAGCCAGAGCAGTGCTAGTGGAGATTGAATCTAGTGATTACTATAAGGGATTTGCTGTCTCTTTCTTTATCCCTCTCTCTCTTTTTTTTTTCTTTTCCCCCCCTTTTCCCTCCCTCTTATCCCTTTCGTGGTGCATTTGTCTTCGAGGAACCTGGGGTGTTCTTTTCATCAGTTCAATCTCTCTCTGGCACTTGAGTCCTGATTGGCTGAAGGACTTAGGGGAAAAAAAAAATCTTTAATTAAGTAGATAATCTCTTCTTAGGAAGTTCTGCGGCTCCATTTCACCAGCCCCCTTTAGCTCTTACTTTAGGATTGGTTATCCTTTGCAGAAGGTGGGATTCAGGAGGCATCCGCCTCTTCATCACACCAGGACTGCCGGATGGAAAATAACTCCATCCCTTCCCTAAATTAGTTGTGCTTCTTTTTTTTTCCTTTTTTCTGGTGGTGGTGGTAACCAAGTTTGGGGTTTTTTTAGGATCTCCTTTCTCCCTCTTTATTTGGATTTTATATTTCACATGGACCCTTATCTGGGCATCTTCTTCCTCACTCCCTTCTTCCAGTCCTGCTATGCCTGGTGAGTATCAAGAGCATCACAGTCTGTGTCACAGGCAGGTGCTCTTCCCAGATACCCTAAGGAAATTCCTCTTCGCCTTCCTAAATGTCTCCTCTTTCTCACTTAGCTAAGTTCTGTCTTTAATGGAATCAGATATTTAACCAAGTCCTTACACACTCATTGGCAGAGAGGTTAGATCTATGAAAGTCCCTCTTTTTCCCTGCACTTCCCAAAAATAACTAGGGGCCAGATTGTAAGCTGGAGTAAAATAGGGGAGAGTGGGTGCTGAGACCTAGCCCCTCACTTTCAAGTGGGAAGATAACCCAATGGAAGAGCCAGAGACTTCTGCTTTTCCAAAGGCTCCCAGTCAGCTTGTCTTGTCTTAATTAAATGAAATGGGGCTTCTCTCACGCTCCCCAAAGAGGACAGTCTGTGATTAAGAGCTCAGAGCCCGCAGGGGTGAGTTAGATCCACAGGAGTGTCACTCTGGATGAGTAGCCTGAGAGCCCAGCTCCTTGGCACGCACCAGGGGCAGAATTTCTTGTCTGAAATTCAGGTATTAGGGTTTCCTGGGCAGCTGCTTTTGCTACAGCGATTGTTACAGCTCGGTTTTCAACCACCTGAGTCCCATCAGACCAGTTCTGCTGTGCACAAATCTGTGGCCATCTCCTGTGGACCTCTTGCTTTGTCCTGAGGAGAGTGTTATATTTATTTCCCAAAAAGTTCTTTAAGGGTGAACAGAAAGAGATTATGTTTGCATCGAATCTTGTATCGTTCCTTGTGGGATATATCAGTCCCATTCCCAAAGGGAAATGATCTCTGCAGGTATTTTTCCTATGTGATTTTTACTGAGTACCCAATTTTTTCTCTCAATTGCAGTGATGCCCTGGGGAATCTGCTCAGTGGGTTACAGATTTATCTCTAACAGCAAGCAAAGTCTTTTACTATTCAATTACTAAAATCCCCTGCCTTCTCCATAGCAGATCTCTAGGGTTATTACCATGGATGGAGAAATCAAAATTACAAAAAGAGAAACTAAAGAGTAAATGGGAACTCATTCCTGTTAGTCTGGAAATGAAATTTATGTTCTTTCAGAGATTTTCTACTCCTTTCATTAAAAGAATACACAACAATTTGTATATGTCTAAATACTATAAAAGAGCAAACTCAAGATAAACCTCCCTTCTGGAACAAGGGTAATATGTATGTTCTACAGAAAGGCTAGGCAAGAGCTCATGCTGATTTTATTGTTATTTTTGTGCTCTTCCTGTGTATGTCTTGCTTTCCTCAATAAAAACAGGTTTAGAATACATTAAAAGAAAAAACCCCAACATTTTAAAGAAACAGTTCAAAGAGAAATTTCAGCACACAAAGTAGAGCTAAATATGGAAATCCAAGACATTTTCAGTCCAAAGTTGGATGTTTAGATTCCTGTCTCTCAGTAGTTTTTATCTAAGAGAAAAGTTTATAGATCAAGACAACCTCGCTTCTCACTGCATGTTGCTCATAGGTCATGAATTCCATAGAGAAAGGAAAATTGCAACTTTAATTGAAATTATCATTTTGCAGACACTCTCCCTTAACTCTTTAGGAGAAAAACAAATTTGTGAGAGTCATAAAATAATTCTGCTTGAAATTTGTGCTGGTTTTCTCTATCTGATCCAATGGCTTAAAACACGTTATTTTTTTCTTTATGATTTAATCACAAGAATTGGGAGTGGGAACATGGTGGGGGAGCAATATAGAACAACAACAAAAAAAGTTTTTATATATATATGTGGCCACTTCCTTTCTTTGCATGTGGATTAGTTTTTACCATTTAATGGATCATTCAACCAATGTACTATTTCTAGGTGATCAAAATGTTAGGGTTGCATTTAGGAACAAAATCTTCAAAATAAATATAACAAAATAGATAAAAATGAAGAAAAAATAAGTAAAGTTCCAAATGCTATTGAATTGCTGCCCAGTTTCCTCTCCTGTGGGAATAATATAAAGATCTCTAACTCAGTAGTTTTCTCCTAAATGTAATTTTTACACTTCAGCTGTGGGACTGCCTTTGGTTTTCAGCCTCCCTGATTTTCTAATAACCTTGGGGAGCTCATATTGAGAACAAAACTCAGATCCAAAAGGAAATCCTATCCATTTTCTCTATTTACAATAATGACAGTGAAGATGTAAATCCAGCTTTATAATTTTCTAAAGAGCAGAACCAGCAGCACAGTAGCCTGAGTGGGTGGTAAGGTATCAGACAAATATTGTAATGAGAGATTAGGTAAGGCTCTCAGGGCATATTAAACTGAGGAGAGTGATGCTAAACTGATGAGTGTGATGTTATTGGTTAAAGTTGTAAATGAGACAGAATTATCAGAGGCTATTAGTATTATTAGTATTTGATATGAGTAAAATATAATGGGACAGCTGCTTGGCAGGGTTCTTTGTTTTCAGATTCAATAAAACTGTGACAGAAAACTCCTGCTGAAGATATTTACTAGCTTTGACATAATTTTCTAATATTGGATCCAATGAAAATCTCTTGCCCTAGATTTACTTTTTACCTGGAGACATAGAGTTGTGCTGAGGGAAGCAGTGTGTCCTGGCCAGGGCCCTGCACAGCCTGGGGAGGGGGCAGAGGAACTCGGAGTTGTCCCCCCTCGACCCACTTGGCTACGAGCCTGCTCCGCTTCAGCCCGTGTAATGCTATCCTGCAGTTTGCAGGTGGAGGGAAAGGGGGTTACACAGCTAGAAACTCCCTGAGCTTTCTCTGAGAACAGAAATTACTTCAAATGTCTCTTTTCATGTGTGTGATACAAAAAAAATCACCAATGTCATAGAGATTGGGCTGGTTAACACCAGCTATGAATGCAACTACTTAGTTAGTTTAGTATTACATTCTGCTTTCCTTTACAAGGGAATGAAAATTTAGTAGAAGTACATAATTTCTTTTTAAAAATCACACTACAGACAAAACAATGAAGAGAGATTTTGGTAGTGATTCCTGTTTGTAGTACAGAGATGATTCTAGAGACACTGTCACTATTGTATTGTACCTGTGTAAGTAGTGGCTTAATTGCTTTCTGCCCTTAGTGGAGACTATATACAGAATGGAAATACATTTTTCTTAGCTAAATTATAAGAGCAAAGAAAAGCACATAGATTCTGTCTCCATTACTACCTTTTCTTGCTTCTCAATACAAGTAAGAAAAATTTCAGCCAGCCTCTAGTCATAGGATAGTCCCATCTTCCCTTCTCCTGAACCTACCTGAAGCTGCAAGAGTTAAATGTTGGGGTGTCAAGTGCACAAAATACTTGAAACTTCATGAATCCTTTACTTGTTTAAGTCCTACAAACCCAGCCAGCAGCCTGCCTGCCTGTTGATCTGAGAGCTCAAGGAAAATGCCTTCAGTCTCTCTGACTTTATAAACTGTTTAGAATATCCTGCTGGGAAAATGCTACTGTATCATTTGCTCAGCTGCAGATGGAGAATTGGCATATCCTGAACTTGGCCTTTTTGTGGACCTTTATCCTGGAGGTTTATCCTGGAAGGAACAGATCCTCTGCTTCAATGTAGTCATGTCAATTGACTCCTGCTAACAGGCTGGTTTGCTGTAAACTGACATTGTGGCTTACCGTCCTCCTCCTAAAGCCGTCCTTGCAATTTCTCAGATGTTCCTAATCCAACGGTTTGGATTAGGAAGCAAATCCTTTCTATATACTGTGAATTTGGGTTTTCCTACCCACATGGGAAACAATGCAGATGGGATTTATCTCTTTTTTTGGTGACAAAAACAAGATAAGCGAGGACTTGCAATTTTCTAGCTCTTGCCTACGCAGGAGCATTTTACCAGAGTTTTCTCACAGCTGCTACCAGGGCCCCAGATTCACACTCACACCATCCTGAGTGTGGTCCCCATAGCAAAGCACTTAAGGTCAAGGCAATGGACAGAAGGGAAACCAGATGGAAAAATGACTTGTTCATGCTGCTACCCAGTTGCGTTAGGATGGGGACCCATGGAGCTTGCACAGTCTGATTAGCCCCAGGTTCATGGCCCTGTGTGATTCAGGTCACCCGATGCTCTAATCACTCGGCTACAGATGCCGTCTCTCCAAGTCCCAGGAAATATTTAATTAGCTGTACAATGCAGAAGCAGCTTCCAAAGGAAAATTCCTCTGCAAAAAAACAACCATCAACTTCGTGCTAAAGTGCCCATGGGGGCTGGAGCACAGCCGGGTCTGAATCCCAAGCCTGGAACAAAGGAAAGGAATCTCCTGTTCTCACAGCCCACTCCTGTTTTGACCCAGGGGAATCTTTCCCAAAGAAAGCTTCATAAATGTAAACACATTTTCACCAAAAAACCCATAAAAACCAAAGCAAAACAAAAGAAAGCTAGACTTGCCAGAATGAAATGTTGCAAACTCATTCTCCTAACTCTAAACTGTAACAGCAAAGATCAGAATTCTTGTGATTTTGACCAAGCTAAAGTAATGAGACCTCCTTTTGTGGTGTACTTTGGAAAGGATCTCTGTGGGTGCAGTTCTGGTGGAGGTGAAGTGGGCTTGCTAACTGTGCAAGTGGTTTTCCAGGGCAGGACAGCATCCTCTCTCAATCTCTCATGTGTCTCATGTCTGGGCACCAGTCCTGAACCCTGTCTGTCCCATGTCGATGGCAGGGCTGCATTTTGACCTTCAGCTTTGGACAACATTGACTGCTTCTGACTGTGCTGGAGCCCACCCTGGGATGCCCCCACAGTGTCTGTGCTGGGTTTGTAGCACAAAAAGACAGTATCTTTCTCTCCCTTATGTGGGAATACTTGTGACTCATTTGAAGCAGAACATAATTTTGAGAAGTTGAAGAACCAAGTTTCCATCAGTGCGTGCTCTGTCATCTTCCCAATCACTCACTCACTGCAAGGTCTCAATCCACTCATTCTACCTCTCTGGTCCCAGTGTCCTCTCTGGGTGATAACAGCAGTCACTCATTTCTCTTGAAGTGTTGAGCTCCAGCAGGGAAAATGTTCCACAGACTCACCAGAAATAGTGATGTTATCTTATAAACCTTAGGTTTATAAAATATGTTATAAATTATATAAAATATATAAAATATACAAAGTATGTTTATAAATGATGTTATTTTATAAAAATTAGGTATTTTTAGGAGACCCTCTCTTTTCTTCATTTCTGACTTGGGATATTTCGAATTGGCTCTTGGGCTTCTTCAAAGTGTCAGTCCTTTCTGCCATGATGCAGCTAAGCAGGATTCACCCAGAATTCTCCAAATTCTGCAGGTGGTCACTGCACCATATGGAGTCCCAACGCTGTCTGACCATTTGCACAGAAACAGTCTTTCTTACTGGAGAAAGACTCAGACCAGACAGCATCCATTCTGCAACGCCATAGTGCTGGAGACAAGCCACACTGCCTGACCCTTGGAGACGATCCCTCCACACCTTCAGTGGGAACAGCAGAAAGCTTAGTTTTGTCTAGGACCTCCCACCCACCCCAAACCCTCAGGGTGCCCTGCACAGTGTCCTGGAGGATGGGAAGGACAGGTATATTTGTGTTCAGCCATCACCATAACCTGACCAAGAGGAGAGTGTGGGCAGTAAGAAATGGCATCACAGGAAAACAAGGGATTGTGATGTGGAGAGATGCATCTGGACTCATATTGCAAAGAAGCAGTGGCGTGATGCCCTCCCTCCCTCAGCACGGTCCCACTCCTGGGGGCTGGGAGAAATGGTATCCTGACTTCAGTCAAGTGAGGTAAAAAAGCAAGGCTAGGGGAACCAGAAAGCTAAATAAGGGATAGATTGGTACAAAGGGTAGCTGAGCAGAGGAAAGCAAAAGGAGGGAGCAGTGAAAGAACTGCAGCCCAGTACAGCCTGACTGAGGGGAGCAGGGTGGGGGGAAGGGGACAGCACTGTCCTGTTCCTTAGGGAGCAGCAAAGGGACATGGGGGAGAGAGCAGAGGTGCCTGCAGCCAGGAGACAGGCAGACTGTGGGGGAGCGAGAGGAGAGCCCTGGGATGCCTGGCATTCCCCAGGCCCCTCCACCATCACCCCCTCCCTGCTGACACTGTCTCTATCTTCCAGGTCAGTGAATAATTTCCTGATGACGGGCCCCAAGGTAAGAGAAATCCCTTTGATCTCTGTCCCTGATTCCACTAAACCCAGAGAGGGAAGGAGAGAGAGAGAGGGGCTCCTCCTTCCCACTCCTCTCCACTCAGCCTTGGCCAGAGCTCCTCTCTCCCCCAGGCTTCAAGCAATAAGGCAAAGAGAAAGGCCAGGAACTTGTGAGCTCCTTGGGCTGCATGAACACTGAGCAATGCTGACCTGGGGTTCTTTTAAACAGGTTGGGGCCAGATTCTGGAGATTTGTCTATTGATGCCAGCCAAGGCTCTCACCTGACATCTATTGCTTCCTGAGGATCAGGTTGGCATCAGGGTCCACACTGAAACAGCTGGGAAGTATTTTCTATGGGATATGTAAAACATACTTCCTCAAGGAGCACATCTTGAATTGCCAGGACTTTGTTCCATATTTTTGACCCCTCACACCTTTGTGCTCCTCTTTCGGAGGCTTTTTTTCTTAGCCAGGAGCAGTTGTAAAATTTACCCAGATTTTGTTCTGGCTATTCCCCAGGAATACCTCCAAGCCCATCTAGCTCCTAATACACTGGTGGAGCAGCCTTGCCCCAAAGCACTAGCTCTCCCCCATGGGCGGTGGTGAAGAAGAAGGCGGCAGGTTGAGGCATCTGCTAGCCTGGAACTCCCTGATCTGAGCAGAAAGCTGTTTCCTCTCATGGTGGAGAGATAAGGGGCTTCCCATGGCAGAGGCTGGCTGACACATTTCCTAATGTGGCTAACAGCCAAGAGCTGAGCTTTCTCCCACAGGAGGCTCAGGCTCTGACCCAGCTCAGCAGGAAATGGGTGTGCTGCTGGTGGTGGTGAGCTTCCCAGGGAAGCCAAGCCAGGAAGACCCTCTGAGCTCTGTACGTCTTGTCTCTGTGAGATGGCACACAGGTCACTTTCAGTCGAAAATATGCATTGTTCCCGTGCTGACGCCCAGCTCTGTTCCTAGGCCTATCTCATCTACTCCAGCAGCGTGGCGGCCGGGGCGCAGAGCGGCATCGAGGAGTGCAAGTTCCAGTTCGCCTGGGACCGCTGGAACTGCCCGGAGAGGGCACTGCAGCTCTCCAGCCACGGCGGGCTGCGCAGTGGTAAGGAAAGTATTGGATACCACTACTGGGACCCCCTTGCTACAGGTTAGAGCCCATGGCCCCCTCCTCTCTTCCCAAGTGCCTCCTTTTCTTCCCCATTCTCACCTGAGAAGAGCCTCTCGCAGGAATCACCCAGAGGGATCTCCCCAGGAGACCCCTTCACCCATCAGCTCCCAGATACAGTGGGATCTAGCTCCAAGGCCTCCTTGCAATGCTAGCCTTACCCATGGACCTGCTGAACCCCAACTGGCACAGGACCAAACCTTACACAATAGTCTCCCCAAAAGGATGTATCCCCCTGACCTGAACATGGTCTGCTAGATACCATGATAGATGGTGTCCCAGGGTATCCCCAGGGAGGCTGAGAACCAGCACAGGCTGCCTGGGTAGCAAGCAGAGGGATAAGGCTAAAGGGAGCAGGAAAGTTCATCAGCTGCTGTGCTCTGGCCAAGAGACAGGACAAAAGTCTTCCTACATCTTCCAGATGTCAGAACACCCTAGGCAGAAATCCAGCATCGCTGACCTGGGCCACTGTAGAGCATGGGGCTGTGGTCATTGTCACTGTATCCTATTCCTTACCTATTTGCAGGTGCCTAGAAATATTTCAGTGCATATCTGGCCCTCTAGACCTATGTTTGATATACCTGCTTTGTAAAAGCAGGACCTGGGTGTGGAGGAGAGCCTCAGGCCTCTGGTGGTACTGGCAGCAGACAAGAGACCAGAGCCCCAGGCAGAGGTGGAAAAAGGTTTTAAAGCGGGGCCTTGAGGAGACAGCTGCAGCACAAGGCCTGCTCTGAGACCAGAAGCAGGTCCTGGAACCAGTCCTGTCAAGGTTATCCACACCATATTAAAGGAAAGCTAAAGGCTCAGGGAAGTCAGCTGATGATTCCCAGACTGATCCTGGTGGGTAGGTATGGTCACTGCTCAGAGCCCTTTCAGCAGAAGGTATGGCTTGAGGGGATTGTGGGGAAAGAGTTCTTTGATACTTGGAGAGAACCCCTTCCCGTTGGGGTGTGTTAGTGACAAGTGGGGAACATTGGCTGTCTGTGCTATATCACCACTGTTGAGCTCCCACAAGGACAGTCAGGTACTATCTCCTCCACACCCTTTCAAATGACGAGTCAGTCTGGATCATATTTGGGAGATTCTATCTTCATGAAGTTCAAACCCAAATTAAGCTAATCTGACATGTAGGGCCTCTTCTCCACCCCTCAAAGTCTTCCCCACTGCAGATGTCCTGTGCAGACTCCTGCATGGCAGGAACAATTACTAACATTGCCCTTGCCATGAAATCTTTTGCACATCTGCTCTCTTTGTATTCCTCCTTGACAGCAAACCGAGAAACAGCCTTTGTCCACGCCATCAGCTCTGCAGGTGTCATGTACACGCTGACCCGGAACTGCAGCCTGGGCGATTTTGACAACTGTGGCTGTGACGACTCCCGCAATGGACAGCTGGGTAAGGAGGGATGAGCTGCTGCCCCTCACTTGTCCCAGGTGGCAGGAGAAGCTCTTCTCTCCTCCACTGACGCCTGCAGAAACACCTCCCCATCCTGATCCCCACACCTGGGAAAAATGCCCAGAGAAAAGCTTTCCCTGGTTCAAACCAAAGTAGCTCTGTGGAAGCTAATGGAGTCACCTCCAGTTTACACCAGCCAAGCTCTTGATGTTTTCCATTACTTCCTCAATGAGCAGGAAAGTAGAAGGGGTTGCAGTTTTCCTGGTTCAAATCAAGAACTCTATTTAAGCTGCTGGAGACAATGACTATATCATACAGGCAGAGGAGTGGATCTGTTGCTATGCACCTAAATGATCTTGGTATAGCAGCACAGGTCAGAGACCTCAGGGTTCCCAGGGTCTGCAGGACCAGGCTGGCCCCACAGCAGAATGACCATGAGAAAAAGCAGGGTGGCATTCATAAACCTCTCTAGCACTCATAAGCATGACAGGCATACAGGAGCACAACCAGGAGAATCATTGTGGGTGCACACAGCCATCACACCCTCCACATGGCAGTGATTTCCAGGCCCTCAGCCACCAAGGACCCCTGGTAGGGAACTCCAGGCTGCACCACTTCAGTTCTCTGCTCAGCTTTCATAGAAAACATTGACATTTAGGGATTTTGTTTTGAATAGAAAGAGGTCAAATTTCAAATTATCAAGATCTTGTAAAAGCCATGCCCTGCCCAGCTACACTAGGCAGTCAGTATGTGTCACTTTATGACAAACTCCTCTGGAGTGTCCAGTATTTAGTTTATTGGCTGATAATTTTGAAAACAGACACTACTGCAGAGGTGTCCAAAGTTTGTGAATGCCTGTCTCTAACAGAGCAAGACTTTTGGGTAACAACACATCAAATTCTATCTTCTCTGGAAAACCAAGTTAGTCATGCTACATTTCCTTCCCCCAAATATATCTGGTTTTAATACAAAACTTTCCATTGTGGACTTAAAACCTTGTAAGGCACAGGAAACTTTTGGGCTTGACCAAAACAGCATGATTCAATTTAGCCATTGGACTGAATCCAAGCTGGTGAAAGGTTTTTCTATTCCTTCAGTCCCAGTTCTTGATTTGGACTGCATCATCCACTGCAATTACCCACCTCCCATGAAGCACTCCTGTCTCTCCCTGGGAGAGGGGATCACGATGCCCTGGGGAAGTCCAGGCAAAGGCCAGGCCTTTCCAGAGAGGCACAAGGCCATTAAACCATGACTCCCAACATGTACCAATGTGGCATGTCAGGGTCAGAATGTTCCAGATTTCAAATCTTCATTAAAAATTTGGCATCTTTCTCTAGGAGGAAAAATACGGCATGATGTTTTTCCAGTCCCACTCAGCTCCCACTCAGTTAAGAAAAGTACTTTCACATATTTTTGTGTAATTTCACAGTTCTTTGCTGACTCCCTTGTTTCTTGATGGTAACTAGCAAATCAGACCCTTCTAAGATGCCAATCATCTCAGAATTCTGGGTGTGCCAAAACCCCAGCTTCCTTGATGCATATGTGCCAGGTTTGGGCTGCTCTGGGCAGAGTGGGATCTGTTCCTTGGACCAAGATGCCTCCACCAGTTTGTTAATCCAAGTTAGCAAGATGCTGTTCCTGTAAGTCACTCTGAACCAGCTGAAGTCAGGGTTTGAGAAGTGATTAGAGACCCAAAGGCTTATCTGCATGTCTGCTAAGGCACGGTAACTGACAGCTTCTAAATCCTGCTCTACGGAAAACCTGGAAAGCCCTGTGTTTGCTGTACAGGACATACCCCTCTGCTGCCTGCCTGAGCCACTTACTATCTAGGCCTCAGGAGAAATGTCATGAACTCAATGGCAGGGAATATGGGAGTACTGTGTGGTGAAAGGCTGGATTTGCCCCATAGCCTCCATTCCCTCCCATCACTTCTGAAACCTCTTCTGGTTCTTTGACAGCACACATCTCATCTCCTTTCTTAGGGGGACAAGGCTGGCTGTGGGGAGGCTGCAGCGATAATGTGGGCTTTGGGGAAGCTATTTCCAAGCAGTTTGTGGATGCCCTGGAGACTGGACAAGATGCCAGAGCTGCTATGAACCTGCATAACAACGAGGCAGGTAGAAAGGTGAGCACCTCTCTCCCTCCAGAGCTTACAGCGCATACCAAATTGGCTCTGAGCATTCACTGTGGAGAGTCACAATTTGATGTGGCTAAAAACACATGTCTAGAAGAAACAATTTCCTGGGGGGGATGGCAGCAGTACACTGGTGTCTGCTCTAAGGTAGCAAAGCTTCTGTGTTACAGTGTTAATGACTTTCTGCAGTCCTCCTCCTCCCAGTTCAAGGAGGGGAGCCCTGTGGAAAAGCAAATCTGTGAGCTTCAGGACTACTGTGCAGGGAGAATTGATGCCAAACTCCTCCACAGGCCTGGAGCCATGGTTCTGCATGCATTGCAGCACAGAAACAGCCCCTCTGGGGTTTTTTTTTTTCTTGAACTCCTCTCTCTGATCACCCTGTAGGCAGTGAAAGGGACCATGAAGCGGACTTGCAAATGCCATGGTGTGTCGGGGAGCTGCACCACCCAGACCTGCTGGCTGCAGTTGCCTGAGTTTCGGGAGGTGGGCACTTACCTCAAGGAGAGGTACCACAAAGCCCTGAAGGTGGACTTGCTGCAGGGAGCAGGGAACAGCGCTGCCAGCCGGGGTGCCATCGCTGAGACCTTCAGTTCCATCTCCAAGAAGGAACTGGTCCATTTGGAAGACTCTCCTGACTACTGCCTGGAGAACAAGACGCTGGGGCTGCTGGGCACGGAGGGCAGGGAGTGCCTGAAGAGGGGCAAGGCGCTCAGCAAGTGGGAGAAGCGGAGCTGCCGGCGGCTGTGCGGGGACTGCGGGCTGGCGGTGGAGGAGAGGCGAGCCGAGATGGTGTCCAGCTGCAACTGCAAGTTCCACTGGTGCTGCGCCGTGCGCTGCGAGCAGTGCCGCAAACGGGTCACCAAGTACTTCTGTGTCCGCAAGGAGAAGCGCGAGCGGAGCGGGGGTGGCGGAGCCAGCCGCAAGCTCAAGAGAAAGCTCTAACTTGCTTCTGCTCCTCCACGGTCCTGCCTGCCCCTCTCCTCTCCTGCCCTTCCCATCAGCTCCTGGCACCATTTCTCTTTGGCATAATTTTGTCTCATTCCCACTGCTGCCTCACTGGGGCTTGGGCAAGGCAAAAGAGCTTTGTATGAGTGCTCAGGCCTTGCCCATACAGGGCATTAGTGCAGCGGGCAATGTCTCCTTTGAAGGGGAGACCTTCCAAGTGTTCACAAAACAAGGTGAGACTCAGTCCCTTCAACTCAGTGTCACTCTATCCAGTGACTATGGCATTATCTCTGAAAGCACAGGAGGTTTTGGTGGCTCCTGTGGTTTTGAGCTGGTCTGTTCCCCAAACAAGCACCTGCTCTGGGCTTTTGAGTAAGTGAGATAAAAGGTATAAGGAAACTGAGATGGCACCAACAATTGGGCAACTCATTTTCAACTCAGTAATCTGTAAATGAGAAGAGGCTTAAAAAAAATATAGGTACTAAAACAGATATGGCCTCAGGCCCACACTATGAGGAAATACAAAAGACATGCAATTCCTTTCTCAGCAAGCCAGCCTCCAGGGACCCCTCAGCTTTGCTTGCCACCTTTTGACTGCTTTGCTAAGCTCTCCAGTGCTTTACTTTACATTTGAAATGGCAGCAGCAAGATTGAAACTGCTGCTTGACCTGCCCATTACAGCTGTCCAAAACAAGGGTCCCATCACTTGATTTTTACATGCTTTGTGTCTTCCAACTCTCCAGGTCTGGTCTCCCTTTTTGGGCCAGCACTGCTATCAAAGCCCCTGACTGATGCCATAAAGATGTCCTCACACTTCTCCACTACCTCCTTCCTCCCAAATTGCTCCCAGAGAGGAGCTGCCAAGCTGAGCCTCCTCCCCATGTCCTGGTGTACTTGCCAAGCACTCTTACCCTGTCAGCTAACTAACTAAATACTTCTTCCTAGTCTGAGAAAATAATGTCAGTTGCTATTTAATGGTGGTGTAAATAGGAAAGTGAAGCACTTTGAAGTTTAATTTATTGCACAGTTACTGTGATGTATACATAACAGTTTTTCCTCTACCGCTTATTGTATATATTCTATAGGCTAAGCAAGCAGCAGGAAGATTTGGTTGATGCATCTCTGTTCCCTTGCTGAGGCTAGGGAAGGGAGGTAAGAAGCTGCCAGCTGCAGGGCTTGGGGAAGCTCACTGCACCATCACAGCAATCTTCCCCTGTGCTGCGATAAGATCATCTACTTTGCTGTTTGAAGTGTCCTTTAGCCAGACAAGAAGCCAGCAGAGCTGTTTCTGGCCATTAGACCCATCTTGTAGCCAATATTTGTAAACCAATAGCCAATGCAATAAATCAGTAGCCAAGTGCTTGCAAAATGCTGTTGTGTCTAAGTGGCTGGGTGTTCTTTTGTCCCATTTTGCATGTGTATGTAGAAATTTAATTGCCCGAGAGATTAAAACACACTGCTTACTCATCTGGGCCCAGGAAGACCTAATCAGTTCCAGCCAGCACAACCTCAGCCCTTACCACAAGGGGAAAGGATGTGCTCTCTCCTGAGCTGGCTTGAGGATGCATCCAACTACAATGCAACTGCCAGGAAGAAATGGAGTGGGAGGGGGGGTAGGCAGGGCCCAGTTGCCCACTACACAGCTGATATATGCAAGACACTTAGCAGCCTGTATTTGTCTCTCCATTATCAATTAGTCCATTGACTTTAGGACTACCTCACAGGGAGCAGGAATTTGGACCTAGGATCTCATCAGAGCAAGAGCATTCCTGTGAAGCAAGAATCTGGCCTTTCAAAGATTGCAAGAAACCTTGGCCCATTCTCAGGGAAAACTGAAACACTTCCTTCACACACAAACCACCACTGTTAGCACAGAAATTCTTACTAGCACAGTGACCCTGCCCAAAGTCTCTTGCATCCCCAGCAGCAGTTGCCCTATGTCCCTGGGGGTGGCCAGGAAAGGAAGGAGGAAGCAAGAGCCTCCCGACCACCAGGGAAAGCTCCAGCATAGGCCTCCCTTTCCTTCTGGCTCCCACCGTTCCACAGGCAGCTGTAGAAGCTGTAGAAGCCGCTTCCCTCTTCCTCCCACTTGTACTCCATCTTTCCGGCTGACACGGCTTCCCCACGCAGCCCCGGCTGCGGCGGCTGCTGGCGCAGGGGACATGCGGGGCACCTCAGCGACAGCCGCACCGCCACACGCTGCTTCCGCCGGGGAAACGGCGACACCGCAGCTGCAGAATGTGCTGACCTCAGCAGCGGGTCCCCCCTCCCGGCGCAAGGAGCCCTCAGCGGTAAAGGCCCTGCTGCCATTGTGGGCAGGATTGGATGCTTCCATGTATTCATTTCGGTTTAATGAAGGCGCATTCCTCAGAGGAGAAATATTTACATTCAGCTTCCCAGGTGGTCACCTTCGCCCAGATGACACACAAACAGGCAGCCCCCCGCTCCCTTTTCCAATCCCAGCCTCTTTAGAGGGCTCGGGAGGAGGGGAGACAGCGGAGGGGGGGCTGCTGGGCGAGCAGAATAGAGAAGGGAACAAAATGCTAATAAATCAGCCAGCCAGCCCTTTTCCCCTCCCCTCAGTGGAGTCAATGGAAAGTGTCATTTCACATGCTAATCCCCCTCCGATCTCTTTACAACACCTTTTCCGAAAAGTGTTTGGGAAAAGTCCTTGTGGCCCGTTTACAGCTCCCCGCCGCTTCAGATTCCTTCTTGTCTAAGGCCGCGGCCCCGGTGTGGGTCTCTCCCTCCAGCAGGGCTCCTTACAAAAAACATCTCAACAAAGACTTTGGAGTTCATCAGCCTCCCACTGAAATTCACAGCTGCTGAACAAACTAATCCCCTCTCTTGGCCTTTCTTCCTTTCAATGGGTTCTTGGCTTCAAAGACACTTTGGGAAAGGACTTTGTGGGGACTCACACTGCTCCCTCAATAGAAGTTAGTGCAAGCATTATCTTCAGAGCAAGTGGCTTTACAAACAAATACTGCCTAACAATCTCTGCCCCTCCAGCTCCCCCAAACACACACAAGCCTAGCCTGCAGACATGATGTTATCTGCCACAGGATTAGAGCTCTGTTTTCTGTGCCCAGGGATCCTTCCCTGCTGCCCCCTTCCCCCCAAATTCTTTGTCAACCCAAAGGCCTTCTCACCCAACTGAAATGCCTTCTCTGGTGCCCGGGTGCTGTGAAGCCATGTGCCCACACGGGAGGGGGCAATGCTCACTGCCCACAGACTGGGATATTGCCAGCCAGCAGAGATGGTGCTATAAATGGAGAGCACTTTCCAGCGGGGTTTGAAGGGTAATATACCACAGCAGGGCTGCAGAGACAGGGCCTCTGCCACAAGCCTGTCAAGCGAGTCACCTCACTTTCCCCTTTGCTTGCTTTCAAAGCAAAGAGCTTCAGGGATGGTGCTTACAGGGGTAAACATGAAGCAAAACAAGAGCAACAGAGGGGCAGGTGGGAAGGACACACATCAAAGGCAGGATAAACAGCCAGTCTTTCCATAAGTAGCAGTAGCTATGCCTGCTGGAGGGACCTAATGTCATATGTATGTGAGAGATAGTGGAAAGTCTGTGCTTATTTCTCAGCAGTAGAAGTGGCCTGAGTTAAAGAGAGCAAAGGGCTGGACTGCAAAGAGTACTGTAACTGAATCCAAAAAGGCAGAATCTAAGAAATGCCAGGCTTATTAAGTGATCTCAGAAAGCTGGGACTTCCCTTATACACTCATTAAGCAAATGTATGCCACCTGGGCTACCTGTGTGATAACCCCATTCTGATGCTACTCCAGTGTTACCTTCAAAAATCCGCTTTGCTTGTCCCTGCTGGGGGGATAGCTGTTAGGCCAGGCTGTTTGTTAACTGCTCCAGACCAAAAGCTCTTCAAGACTCCTTCACACTGGGTATTTGCCTCTGCCAGCAGCAGAACTACTAAAGCTTGTTTTCCTTGAATGCATGTGGCATGTCCCTAACACCCAGAACTCTCAGAAACCCCTGGGCCCTTCTCAGCAACAGCCCTTCAAATTTTCACCATTCAAACAATCTTTTCAAGCCTTTGCTTCCTTTGAAGTCCTCCAACCTTGGGTCATGTAATACAGTCCTTCATATTTCAGAGTTTCGTGACTGGCAGGGTTGTACATACATACTAGCTAACTGAGAGAAAAAAAATATCAGAATTTCTTTCTTTTGTAAGAAAGAAGTTTGATCCCCCCACCTTTATCACAATACTATATTTCAATTCAGAATTGAATTCCTTCTTACCTCCTTAAAAGATTAAATGAAATCAGCCAACAGATTCCTAAGTTATTAACTAATGATAAGAACTGACAATTCAAGGGTATAAATTTCCACACAGGTCCAATCCTTATCCTAGTTCAGGCTGCATGGCTTCAGTGGTGTAACATTTATTTCCAATGGGAGACAATGCCATCAAGGGCTCTCTGTTTACTTACTCACATACTTCCAACTCTTGATATCAAGTGCAAAATCTCAAACATTGCTGAGATTCCCCAAGAGAACCTGAGTTTGGGGCCTTCTTGTGTCTGATGCAGATGAACAGTCACAACTGACGCAGGTCATTTGGAGAAGATCAGTGCTCTGACCCTGCAGCCTTATAGAGTGCATAAGACCTGAGGTCTCACCACACCAGGATGAATGCCACCCATAGCAGCAGAGCCCAAAATCTGGTTTGCCCCACACAGTTCTCAACTACCCCCTCTGTGGGTGGCCGTGTAGACTGAGGAAGTCTCATGCAGCCAGAGTAACAAGCCTATGAAAAAAAGCATCACAAAACACAGCTTTTATTTCAGTGTTCTGTAATTTCTCAGTGCATCAAACCGCAGCAATAGAAACAACACAGCAGCAACAAGGAGGCACTTTGACCTGGAAAGGAGTGAATGAGACATGTCCTCTTCCTCCCTTCTCTGATTCTTCTCCCTCCTAAGTCTCATGGTAGACTAAGTTGATTCGTGTATGTCACTGAACCACAGGTCCACTATAGCATTATCACTCAAGCAGCAAGCAGAGCAAATAGGGGCTGGCTGCATCCAAATCTTGGGAATAAGCCTTGCTCTCAGCTGTGGATCAATGATTATGCTGCCTGGTTAGTAACAAGGATGTTGAGAGAGCAGGCAAGGAGGGAGGAAGAGAGGGAAATAAACACACACAAAGATGTGCCCTAAAATCCCATCTGCCTTCCCAGATTTCTTCCTCAGAACAGATATGCTTCATTCATCTACTTCCAGAGGAATTGCCACAGTGATGACAAGTCTCAGCACAATCCGTATCTTCAAGTCCTGACAAGATCACCTCCTGCAGCATATTCCTACCACCACAGTGCCAATGGGCCTTTGAGAACCACCTTTGCATCTATCTGTAGGTAGTATGAATGCACCATATCTGTAGCAAGGAGCTGTCTCTCCCTGCTCAAGTCTGGGCTGGTCAGGGTAGCTCAAGGGAGATCTTTATGGGACTTAAACAATCCCTTCTGCTCTTAAAGCCCCTAGACCATCTGAAAAACCTGAAGTAGGAGGCCTTTAGATAATAGTAGGTGAAAAGTCCAGCTGTGCTAAAGTAAAAGAAGTGAAAAAAGCCAGGAGCCAGAAAGGGCAGGTTTTAGCCCCAAGACAGGATGTGACTGGCTCCGGGGAGAAGCACACAGAGCACAACCTGCCCACTGAATATGAGAGTCACAGGAACTGGAAAGGGAAATTATCCCTGGATCTGAAATATTGTGGGTCTGAGCCTGCAGATGATGGGGGAAAAAGATATAAAGGAAGGTGGAGAGAGGGTAAACAGGAGACTTGACTTTTAAAAACAAGAGAGCTGGGTGAAGAAGAGAACCAAAGCTGGCCCAGAGTAGACTACTAGTTAGTCTCAGCTGTAGCAGGATATGGGTGCAGAGGGGTGAAAGGGTGAGCCAAGGATGAGAATGAAGAGAAAGAAGGAGCCAGGAGAGATTCTTGCCGCAGCCCAACAGAGTGAGGACACACCAGCCTAGGTTCCCAAGGCAGCCCAGCTACCACTCAGGAAGTTTACTCTGCAGCAGGGAATAGAGCTTGAGGCTCTTCTGTGGTGGTGCTGCAGGTACCAGCCCTGTTTGTTTCCTGAAAAATAGAAAGCAATGCCAGCCTAGAAGGAAAAGATTTTCCCCTTTGTGCTGGGGATAGAAGGGAAGAAGAAGGACCTCTGTGCAACCTGGACAGCCTGAAACTGAGATCCCTGGGCTGAGAAGTGGCCTCAGACTAGTAAGAAAGAAGAGAGAAAAAACAGTCTCCAGGAGCTGCAGGCACCAGTGGGCTGTCTGGAAAGTGGATGGGGCCAGGCGTGCAGGCTTAGCACAGTTCCAGGCACTGGCACAGATCTATTTCTCC